TGTGTGTGTGTGTGTGTGTGTGTGTGTGTGTGTGTGTGTGTGTTTGTATGGGTTTTTAGATTAATTGTCACGTGTGTATGATTTTCTTTTGTGCCTCAAATGAATGTGTGTTTGTCGTGTGCGTGGAGATAAACTCTCCTTCGCAGTGGTGGAATGTAACTTAGGTGTTTTCACTCAAACACTGTTATTAAGTGTGATTTAAGGTATGTATGTGCTTGAGTGCCGCCATTTTCTGCTACTTTTAATTCATTAAATGTCCGGGAGAAATGTTTGTGACGCTTTACTGCATTCCTTGAAATTATAGCTCAAATTACACCCACGTAAATATTTATTCATCACTCGTTTATCATTGAAAACGTACCCTTTTGTATGTGTTAAATTGCACTTAAAGTTGACCTGCTTGGCACTGATTCATTAATTAATACACGGAATTAATTTAAATTGATTGATTGGAAGTGTAACCACTTAAAGTTTAAACCTTCCTCTATTTCCCACATCATAAGTTCCAAATGACATCTTTCCAGGAAACATTTTGTACAAGAAGTTTCAGTGTGGTACAAAGTAAAAGTATTGTCATCATGTGCCCTGCCCTTGGGTTATGTTTTGTTTGTTTCAAGTCGCTCTTTCATGTCTAGTATTTCTTGTTTTATTTTGTTACTCAACTCTCCTGCGGTTCCAGAACACTTCACTTCCTGACTTTGTGTGTTTTCCCGCCACTTTTGAGTGTCTGCCCCGCCCTGATTAGTTTCACCTGTTGTTCGTTAACCCTGCAGTCACCTGACTCCCTGCTCACCTGCTCGCACTTCCCCATTAGTCAGTCGCCACAGATACCGGCCTAGTGCCTTTGTTCTTTGTTAGTTTGTCTTCGTTTCTGTTTAGAGTTTCCCCTCTGTTTTCTCCCTGCCTTTCGGACTCAAAACATTGAAGCCATATCCATTAAATCATTGCCTTGTATAGCCACTAGATTTATTTCTGCATTACACTTTTTGTGCAGAATATGTGCATGCCATGTAAATTAGCTCACCTATAGCTGCATCAATTTGAAAGCATGACTTTTACTTTTGACTGTTTTTATCGTGGTGTTATTTTTCTTAACTGGTACCCTCATGTATGTGCTAAAACGGACAATTTCTTAATTTTGTAGTTATTTAATATGCAGGGCTCTGTTCTAACCGTATTCCTTAACGACATCTCACTTTGATTCTATGTTATTATCTTGAATGTAAGGTGCACCCAATTAATATTTTACAGGTGCAAACTGCTGCTGACGGCAAATTATTATATCAATAACAACATTCTCTGGTATTCAGCACTAATTTGTTGTATTTGGAGCTGTTATATAGAGAGACAGGACTGTGTTTGTGTGTGTGTTATACATATCACTCAATCAAATGTCACACTTTATTTGTATTGTACTTTTCTTACAAACATTAGTGCAACATTAGTATATATATGGCAGTGTCTGTCAAATAAAAATACATGACATCCGTACATTCTTGTCACATTATGCCACAATATGAATTGAATGAATAGTAATTATGTAAGTGAACACTGTTATGCTCATCAGACAGAGATCATAAAATACAGCGGTATAACAAAGCAATAGACAGTTGATGCATCTGAGCCACACAACTGCAGTTGCTTTAAAATGATGGCTGCGGGGCAACAATGTCTTATTCTTTAAACGCCTGTTGTCTCAACTGCTCCCTCCTCGCATCTCTTCCTCGCCTCATCCACTCGCATCTCCTATGGTCGGTACTAGAGGAGGAGGTGAGGAAAGGAATTGAGGATGTACAAACTGGGAAATGAGTTTGATGCAATACACACAGGCCTCTAGTCTGTCATATGTGTGTGCGTTGCGTCAACAGACAATAAAAGGGATACAGAGATTATTCTTTTTCTTCACATATGGCCCTTTTACATATCATAATGCTTTACGTGGGTGTGTGTTGTGTTACTTTGATTTTCAAGAGAAGAGGGAATAAAATGGCACAGCTGAGTCACAGAGAATCACCATAACAGAACATTCCTGCAATCTGTCTTACTGTCTGGAGAGGAGGACAGGACCTATTTATATATAAACAAGGGTGGTTCAGGAGAGTATCCGTTCCAAACGAGACTTTTTCAGGAAATGCCAGTATCTTTAAAGGGGATATATCATGCTCATTTTCAGGTTCAAACTTTATGGGGTTTCTACTAGAACAAGTTTACACATGTTTCACGTGTCGAAAAAACATAATAATTTTTTCATACCGTCTGTCTGAATATATCTGTAGTCCCCCTCTGTCTGAAACACTCGGTTGTCGTGCCTGTCTCTTTAAGCCTCCCTCCTGAAGCCCAGTGTGATCGGCTTGTGAGATAAATATGGTGCACCTTCACCAAAGTAGTTCTCAAGCTGTGGGTGGACATAGAGACAGAGCACATTTAAGTCCCGCCCACACCAAAGAAGAAAACAATTCATCCCTTTCCATTGACTCAGTACTCATTACGTGAGCAGCAACCATTTTGTCCTTATGTCAGTTTTAGGCTATCTATGTAAGTTATACTAAAACATTTTGACTTTTGACTTTTTTTGTATTCAACTTGTGTTATAGTGGAATGTGGAAATCAGAAAGCTGTGCACAATTATGCACAGAGATAAGATTGTATTGAAGTCTATGAGATAATGATCCTACTGTACTTCTCTCTTATTACCACAGTAAACATTGTAAATATGGGTTTATGGTCTCAATCGCATAGTTTCAAGTCTTCTTCAATACAGCATGATGTTCATTTAGTAAATTATTGTTAAATTTAGAGGAAAATAGACCATAAAGCAGGGTATGCTTTAGGGCGTGGCTACCTTGTGATTGACAGGTTTCTACTTCACTCCTCTGCAGTCCTAATATGGTCACTTCTGTTCACTGGTTGCAAAAAGTCAAGATGGCGACGGCAAAAACACAGAACTCGAAGGCTTCCAAACCGCAGTCCCAGACCAATGGGTGACGTCTCGGCGACCACATCCACCACTTACAGTATATGCAGTCCATGGTTTTTTAGCACTTGGTTGTGTATTCAGGCTCCCATTGTTTACCCCTCTGACGCGTTATGCTCTGCCTCTCTACTCAGATTGAGGGGGGCAGTATATTCTAGTGAGCTAGGCAGCCCACAAAAAAACAGACCGGGTTGTCTTATTTCAGTTTGTGGGTTGGTAGGCTCAACTGTATGTTCAAGAGCTCTGAAAAAAAGTGAGTTTTTCATGCTATGTCCCCTTTCAACAAAATCATAAATTAAGAAAAGTTAGAACAGGAAAATGTATACGTAATTTCTTGAACTCTGATAATAAGAGAAATTAACTCCATAACAAATACGTACGTTAATTGCAATACTCATCACTGACTTTTTTTTTTGGCATACACAGTATGCTTGGCAGTCAAATCGTGAAAAGTGCAAGGTTAAAAAAGTTGTGCTCGATTGTCATGCTTTGTAAAAAATAATATTAAACTCTATAGTTCACATTTGCCTTTGCCCTTGAAATATGAATTATTTTTACAAAAAAAAGAAACACTGACAGAGAGACAGAGATTTGAGCTGATGTGTCTGAAGTAGTCAGAAAAAAATGGACTGCTGGCAGCATTTTCTCTTTGAGATAATCACATGAGACGATTGCTACCCAAGCTGAATCCTCGCTCTAGTCATGACTTCATAAATTGAATAAAATCATGAACCCAAACCAACTGCCAAAACTCCCACAGTCTTTACATTTCAGCACACACCTTCATGTTCAGCTTCTGTACGCACTCCTTCAGCTATTACATGGAGACACAGCATGGGGCGGAATTTAAAGTGCAATTATCATGAGTTTCGAGCTGGCCCATGTCAATTAATATCAACCCGGCTCGTGGTTCCATGTGCCACATACGCAGCAGCCAGTGTGCCATGGGTGCAGATTAAGGGGCCGCTTAAATTCATCACATCGCCGAAGCCACTTATCGTTATTATTCCGCTTATTCAAAGAAATCCGCCAAAAGGCCATTGTCTGGAGCTGAATATCATCTTCGCAGTGTGGCACAGAAAAGAGTAAACTGTGACTCAAGTATGATGAGTCAAGCAGACTTTGCGATCCTAATATACATTTTCTGCATGTATGAAAGAGAAATGCATAAATACATTCTCCTCTATGCATTTCTGCTACTGATAGAAAGCCCTGTGCCACTATAGAGCCCAGTGAAATGTAATAAAACTCAGTACTTTTACAGAGTTGACTTTCTGCTCCTATGACAGCCCTTCTCTGCTGAGATAATGTCCACCATAAAGGCCGCACAAACAGGTGGGAGGCGTCTCTCCCTCCTGAGTCCTTTTACTTTCGCACAGTATTGAACACTCAGCACATTCTCTTACAATGTAGAAAGAAAAAAAACTAATATACTGTAGATATGAGGACTCAATGTCCTCAGGGTTCGTGCTTGTCCCATGTTGAAAACAGTAAGCTGCAGCACATTTCAGCAGCTGTTGCAGTGCAGCAGATACACCGGTATCGCTCGGCTTCATGGACCTCTGAGTCACGCTGTTCCACTGAACAAAGGGCCTGCTTTTTTCATTGTAATGGAAATCAACTTGATAAATGACACTCTTTATATTGCGCTGCGCTGTGGGTGTGTTTTTGACATTCAAATTATGTCCAAACGGTGCCCTCTGCAGAATATTTAGCAAAACTACAGCAGTATTGTTAGTAGTCTTTTCCTCACTGCACACAACACGTTACATTTGTGAGATGCACCATCATGGCCTGGCCTAGTTTGACATTGTACTTGTGAATTTCTCAACCTGTACGCAATCCGAGGCAGGAAACTGTCTGCTCTTTACAGCTTTTGCTGTTTGGGGAATCACAACTCCTGCCTGATTTGCAAAATAAGCATGGCCTTTTAAATCACCTCTGAAAATGCAATGTGTTTTTATCATCTTGTTTAATTAAGGTCATTTGTTTTCATATGTGTATTTATGTGTGTGTGTGTGTGTGTGTGTAGGTCTATGAATGTATGTAACACAGTACATACATAACATGTATGCATAGATATTCCCACGTATGTGTATATGACGTGTATATTTTCTTTTTTCCATGGAAAGCACTTTGAGATCTCTGCTTGTTATTCAGTAAGTACAATATAGATAAACTGTATTACTATCACCAAAAAACAAAAAAGTTCAATGCTCCATATTAATCAGAAAGTGAATTTTTTTATTCTTAGTCAAACCAGGAAGATTATACAGATTGATACAATCCACTTGGTAGCTATTACTAAATTCTGGTCTGGTCTAACTGCATATAAATATTCTGTAATACAATGGAAAGCTCCAGAGCAGCTACTAAAAGAAGCTTGCGGTGAAATTGTTTTGTCATCAGCTTTTTCTAAGGTCAAGAATGAACATTGCGGGTAAACTTAAGGTAAGATTATTCACAAAACAGATACAAACTTAATAATAATAATAACAAGAAAGATCTGTATTTATATTCACTGGCTCAGTAACATGAAAGATCAAACGAACATCATATCCTGTCAAATTGTACAATGTTACCGCTACACATGAAATAGGAACTGGGGAAATAGCCCTTCCTGTCCTGCTGTGTAACTCCGACTGATGCTACATTGATAAACTCAAATAAAGTATAAACACACACGGAGGGAGATAAAGAAAACAAACATTTCTAATGGATCGGATGGATCGGGGTTGTGAATGTGGAGTGGGAGTTCCATAGAGGAGATCTGGAGGCGTTCTCCGTAGGTGTATCCAGGCTAGACCATTCCTACACATAGAACATAAAGAAACACACACAAACACACAAGCTGGTTAAAAATCTCACCCTAATGTCATATCCTGTGGCATAGTTCATACCGCTGCTTTTACTTTCTAACAAGTTTCTCTGTGTCTGGGTACCTTAAAGCAGCACACCACATTATCTTGTGTATTTCATATAGTATCACTTTCATCGCTGTCGTCACATCATCGCAAAAATGTTCTATTTTCTGACACTCCTACAACATGACGTGGTCTACATTCTTCGTCTCCAGCAGTGACAGACTCGGGCTGTCTAAATAAATAAAAAGAGCATCAGCTGCATGCATTTGGCCACCACGGCGTAGTATGTTTCATAGCATACAGGGCAGCCTATATGGTACTGTGCCATTTTTTCCCCTTTTAAGGGCACCCAATAGAGCACTGCATCTGGTTTTCTCCACTGGAAGGGTATTCAAGATGGCACTTCATCCTGTTTTCTCCACTGTAAAGTCACCCGAGAGGACACCTCATCATGTTTTCTCTACCATAAGGGTATCTAAGAAGGCACTTTGTCATGTTTTCTCCACTGGAAGGGTCACATCATGGTGACCAAATAGCTGAGTGCTTAGCACATACCACATGGGTATGAACGTCCTGAGCATTGAGTAGCTGGTTTGAATCCCGGCTGGTGAAACCATGTGCTGCATGTCATTACCTTACTCTCTTTCCCCACATTTCACGTTCCTTCTCCACTATCACTATCAAATAAAGGCATAACATGCCCCAAAAATAATCTTCAAATGTACATTTATTATAGATTATAGAGCAGTAAACTGATATCAATTGTAATTGTATAACTTGCAAAACTACGTTTCATTTCTCTTTTCTATGCAGTGACAGCATGTAGTAACACGAGATATAATTGACAAAAATATACCCCCCCCCCCCGGGTATCAGCTGGCGGTGACAGCATTCTGCCCTCTAAGGTGGCTGTTCAGTAACAGAGCACAGAGAAGAAGCCAGAGCCTGGCGAGAGTCTTCACTGTAATGAGAGCCCTTCATCAAGCTAATAAATTAACGTGATTACAACTAATGAGGGGCGAACACTGCGCTATAGCACTAACGAGCAATATCTGTGGGTTGACAGTATGTTTCGTGATTGGCAGTGTGTGCATGTGTATGCAGTGTATGTATGCATGTGTGTAGTGTTGTATGCGTGTGTGTGTGTGTGTGTGTGTGTGTTTTGTTTTTTTTACAGCAAAGGGATCAGGGAAGTTCACAGTTGTTTGTCAAAGTGAATCTAGGAGAAACATTCTGTAGAGGCCACAGAAATACCAGAAATACCAAAAGAACAGAAATGAGTAAACTGCACATGATCTGCATAGTTTTTGTGTTCAAATTGATATTGCAAAGTTGAACATGCATCATAGGATAAGTCTGGTCATATTCTGTTTTTCGTATTGTCAGCAAATCCCATGAAAAGACCAAAACCATCAATGAATTCTTCCTACTAACAAGTATTGTGCATCCAAACACTGTCCTGCTGCTGATACTCAAAACACCAAATGCTTATTAATCTACTGCTGATAATTGTCTCCAAAAAATGTACTATTTACTCCTATTTGAGTACTGTTTGCCAAGAACTGCCGCGTCCAGCTGTTTTAGATCCACATCTTCAGTAGGAACCATTGGGCTCGAGGCTGAGAGCCACAGACTAAGAAAGTCAGAAAGTATTGAGAGGGGGCCTCACACATTGTTGGTTTTGGTTCTTTCATGGGATTTGCTGACAATGACAAAAACCCAGCCAGCCTTATCCAAAGTGTTGTATAAGAAAGGGCCAAGGTAAAAAGTAAGCTGTTGCTTGGAGATTCAGGTATTGATTAATAATTACCTGAGAGGTAATGCTCGTACGCCTGAGTGTCAGGTCTGCAAAACAAAGAATAAAAACAACAAGCACTGTTTGTATCAGTATATCTCTTTACTTTCATGCAATTTACAGCAGAACTAACAAATCGTCTCAAAGAAATTGAAGGGAAGTGAATGGATATATTAACAAGTTATAAATATGATCATAAAACTCACCAATGACATGGTCCTTAGCGTGAACTTTAGTCCAGAACTGTGCTTCCTGTCTGAAACAATTTAACACAGCAACATTTTATAACACAATACCAACTCTGCAATGCAATAATGCATTTTGTTGTAACAAGTTATAGGAAAACACACCTGGCACCCATTCAGTGGGTTCTACCTAGAACCCAGCATAAAGGGTTTTACCTAGAACAATCTGAGGTTCCACCCAGAACCCCCTATGAGAGGTGTAGTGGTTCTACCCAGACCCCTCTCTGGAGGTTCTATCCAGAACCTTTCCACCTTCTGAGGGTGCTAACAAGAACCCACCCAGGGGGGTTTTCCGAGAGCTAAATCCTCTCAGTGAGATGTACTGTGACACTTTTTCTGTACAACTTTTATTTTCCGCAGGTTTCAGAGCACCACAACCCACATCAATCATGGTTCACCATCATAGTCTTTGGGGGTGAGTTTTACCGTGAACCCTTTTAATCTATATTCCTCTATATTGATTTCAACAATTCTTAAAGAACTCTTTCTTCCAAAAAGGGTTGTTTGTATAAAAAGTGTTATTAATGGAACCCTTAGTCTCACAGAGAACCCTTGAAAAACACTCTTCAGAACCGTAGAACCTCAGCCCTTCAGGATAAACCTGTTTGGAACCCTTATTCGCTCCTTCCGAATACCTTATTGTAGTGTTTCATATTTGGAGAAATTATGAGCAATTTCAAACTGTATGGCTTAGTGATATTTTTGCTTTAAACTGTTTAAAATATTTGCAGTTAACGCCGCCTCTAAATGTTGCTAATGTGTCATTGCTGTCACGGTGCTGATGGTAATTCACACTTGTTTATTATAACTTCAGGGAGACAAAATGACTGTGGACAGACAAAGACAGTGATCATTTACTGGCCTTTAAGACGAATGGGAACTGAAAAGAAAATACCTTCTCTTATTTTCCTCGGCTGCTGCTTTTACTTTAAAGAAGAGTGAAAAGAGAAGAAAAAAATAGTAAGTTTCACAATTGAAGACAATCACGACAGTGTAAATGTATCATGTGAGAAAGCTGAGAGTCATGTGCCAGATACCTTTCCTGTGTGCCAACACAACCACGAGTGCCACTGAACAGAGAAACAATACCACAGCGGAGAAAGAGCCCAGTACGAGAGGCCAGTCCACACCGGACAAATCTGCAGACATCGCACTGGCGTAAGTCTGAGTCATTTTATTTTATTTTACTTCCTGCCACTCACAATTCATAATAGATTAATCTACATATGAAATAATGACATGTTAAAGTAGTTCTACCTGGTGATGATGGAGGATGAATTCCTGCAAAAATTAGAAAAGAACCAGTCACATTTTATGTCAGATGATGCTCTACTAAAGCCACACACACATGCAGTATAATCGTGAATATACACCTCTGGTTACAGCCAATGGGAGGCTGTGCTCAGATTTGCTCCATTTGCCTCCCAGGAGGACATCGTACTGGCACTGGTACAAAGCCACAGGGGTGTCCTGGACAGGCACTGGGAAGGTGACCTGGTGGTTGATCATGGTGGCATGGTGAGTGGCAACAGGAAGTTCATTATCAGCATTATCAGCCAGGTAGAGGGAGAACACAGCACGGGGGTAAGCGGGCGACCCTGTGCAGAGCAAATGCCACACGTCCGTCTGCTGCTGGAGGAGAAGGGTGGGAACTGGCAACGCGTCTGAAATCAAAATCATATGAAACATTAGACAGAATACTGTGTATATATATATATATATATATATATACATATGCTCTTAAAGCAAAATAGACACTATTTCCAGCTTCTCAAATGTGAATATTTGCTGTTTTTCTTTGCCTTATATGATAGCAAACTGAATGTTTTAGGGGAATTGGGCTGAAAGAAGTCATTAAACCCAATAACATTTTAAAAACATAACAATTTACGGATTCATTGATAAAAAAATACATAATGAAAATAATTATTAGCTCGAGCGCTACTTACAACATTTTCTAAATTGGGTGAGCGCTGTAGTACTTGCCATTAAATTCAACATTGCAAATGTTATCCCATTCATACAGTAATTCATTCAAATATTATTTTCAGAATGCATCACAATGGTAGTTACAATATTATTCCTAAATGTAAAACTACATTAAAAGATGTGTCAGTAGTGGAAAAACAAACAAACGTACGAAAAATACGAAGAAGAACCAGTTTGATTGATTGACGTGTAGCAAATGAATCAAAAGAAAAACCCACTTAATGTAAAGCAGGTTTATGAATGTTTGTATTTAGTAAAGATTTAAAGGAAGTCAATGTCGTAACAAGATAAACAACAGGCATGCTGAGTTTGGGGGCCCTGAGAGCAAACATATTCACCTGTAATAGCAATTTGAACCACGTTGCTGACAGTTGAATTAACCAACGCCTTTCTTTTGGTGATCTGGTAAATGCACGTGTACTCTCCCTCCTCTCCTCCTCTCACCGGCCCCACACTGAAGACTCCTGGCTGGGGTTCAGGGTTTGATACCCGACTGGCCCGGGGCTGGAGGATGACAGATGCCGCCCCCGTTCGCTCACCGGCCCTCAGCAACAGGAAGGTCAACGGTTTGTTGTGATGGCTCGGCTGGGACTGAGGCTGTGACGGAAGAGGGACCGAGCATCTGAAGGACAGCATGTCCCCACGTTTGACCACGCCGGTAGAGGGATTCACAGACAAGACTGGGGCAGGGAACAAGGGGATAGAGCGAGTAGGGGCAGCATCTGGGAAAGGTACAGAAAGGGAGAGGAAAATGAAACAATTATCTCTACATTTGTGTGGCCCCGTTACTTTGACATCGTTTTTTTGGCACAACAGTTGTGTAAACCATGTAAAAAATAATGCGAACAACCTCGGTTTGCCACAGTCAGCCAAACTTCCCTCTGTAACCGTCAACCCTGGAAGCCAGCACACATTGTGTTTGATGTTTGTGTGTGTGTGTGCGTGTAGGTGTGTGGTTTCTATATGAAGTGCAGGATGTAACTACCACTGCACACACCCACAGAGTGGAAGACAATAAGAGACCACAGAGAGCACCTGCATGCAGCAGTGTGTTTTGGGGGGGTTGGAGCGCAGCGGAAGGGAGTGTTTATTATGTTATACCACATGTCGAATCACTTGTGGGTGCAGACTGAACGGAGTGACTGCACAAACTCTGTTGTTCCACATTAAATGAGAAGTGGAGCAGCTACAGCCTAGACCACATCCACTACTACTACAGATAGACCAGAGTATGCCTCCATCAAATCAGATGTTTAATCTGTCACAGGCCCGATTTCCATCAAGATATGCATTTGAAAACAACAAAAAAACAAAACATGGACGCACCTTTTGGGGGCTCTAGCTGCAAATAGGGACTGAACGCACTGAAAGGACGGTCCCGGTCCTGGTACAGACAGCAGAAGAGTTGGACTGGATCCCCCTCATTTACCCTCACACTGAACTGAACCTCCTCAGTGCCAGACTGCAGCACCTTAGAGTCCACCTCAATAAACGAATGGACACACAGAGAAGAGTAAAACCACAGGAGCCCAGTGTTAGAAGACACAACACACATCCTCAAAAAAAACGTATACCTGTTCTCTGTGCCGGAACAACATGAACTTATCCCCTCGGTGGCCCTCTGGTGTCCGGCAAGCCAGAACCACGGAGCTCTTGGACCTCGCATGGATGTAAAGTGTAGGCGCCGGCACCGGCAGAGGTGAGGATGTGGAAGCAGAAAGCCTTCCTAGACAGGAGAGAGAGAGAGAGAGAGAGAGAGAGAGAGAGAGAGAGAGAGAGAGAGAGAGAGAGAGAGAGAGAGAGAGAGAGAGAGAGAGGTTTCACATGCAGAAAGAATTGGTTGAGTTTCACACAGTTTGAGCTTGGTGCAACAGTGAAGCACCAACTGTGATTGCTAAATGTAGTGATGCTCACTTTGTACCGAACTGGTGATTGCAGGTGATGACAACGTAACAGTGGAATGTGAAATTCAAAAATAGACATATTGCCTGTAACTTCAATATTTAGTAAATTTACAACAAGCACAGTTGTTGGAAATTTTTGTGTCGATGATTATGCATTTAATGGCAGTTTCGCCGTTGTTTGCTTCTCCTTTAACCCACCAAAAATCAGCAAGTAGATGTGTCTAGTGGAAATATATTGTTGTTAGACAAAACAATAAAACTCAGCCATGAATATAATAATAATTTAGAAACAACTATGGTACTACACTTACCCCAAAGTTGTAGAGAAGTGAATAACAGATATATCCAAAGGGATTGTCCACCACTAACAACCTGCATATTTGACACAAGAAGAAGACTGTAGTGTGAGAAAGCACATACAAGCATGGACCTCTCTCTCTCTCTCTCTCTCTCTCTCTCTCTCTCTCTCTCTCTCTCGCTCTCTCTCTGTTTTCTTAATATACATCACATCCTGTTGAAGACAGAGCGATTGGGGGAAGTTAAACCAGTAAACACACTTCCTTTTTTGGAGCCCACTGGTCGGATCCGTGATGAGAATAAATAGCAGGTCTTGTTTCTCAGTAACCCACATGTAAAAATATTTGTGTGTCAGACACAGCAGATTCAGAATTCCCCCACATGGGATGTGATAGGTGTGCACGATAATAATAGAGCGGTGGAATGTAACTAAGTACATTTAATTGAGCGCTTGAACTTCTTCTGTGTGCCAGACGTGTAGGAGAACTACGATGGTCGATTTGAAAATATATGTGAGCATTTTATTTCGAGCTATTGCTAGTCAAGCAGACAAATACAGTATGTTCAATATAGCTTCTAGAAGATTATGAAAGTATGAATCGTGATTATTGAGTACATCATTGCTTTTTGTTTCTTTGTTGTTCAAATCAAGTTTTTCATTGTTGTTTTTTTACTTGTGGAAATAAAGCCTGACAAAGAGAAGTAGCGAACATCTCTGGCCAAATCTAGTTCTACTTTTTGTCCTTTTCCAGCATGTTTCTTTTAGTATAATGAAAAAAAAACAAAAGAGGAATTGGATGACAGAGACCAAGAATTAGCTCACTGTTAGACGGAAAACAAGATGTTTATAAACTGTATCAACAACTCCAAACTTGAGTTTGGCTTAGAGGAGAATTAAAGTGCACATTACAAATCAAATTCATCTCAAGGTGGTAAATATTCCTAAAGAAGATGATGGTACAGATTTAAATCACATTACTCTGGGAACGTTTCACTAGCAACCAGCTAAATTAAGTCATATTTTATATTCACTTCATCAAAAGAAGGATTGCTTCTACTAGCATTTTATTGAGAGTGAGGCCAGTTATAGAGGAGTAGTAAATCTTATCACAAGTGCAGATCCTTGAGGGTGCACTTTTTCTTTAAGAGCCTCCTCTTATAAAGAGTGATCAGGTGCAGCAACATTTTAAAACCTTTAAAAACATGTCATCTGCATTTTATAGTTCATGCTCATGAATCTGGGATTAACAGGACAACACATTTATTATTATTATTAATCTCTTCCAAGGAATCATGTTTTACAATACGAGCACATACAGGGAAGTTACTACATACTCTAGAGATGCATGTCAAATTCAGTGGCTACAGGTAGTGAATTTTTGAGGAAGTTAATGAGTAATGTTGTCATGTTAAGCGTTGTTCTTTGTTCTTTCGACTGCTGCATCATTTTTCTGAGTAAAACAAAAAATCTCCCTATTTCAACCAAGGGATGAGTTCATTATTATTCACGTAGGCTATTGCAAGGCGGGGTAGACATTATTACAACATTTACATTAACAGCATTTATCTTTCCTCCTGGGTGTAAAACTGTCTCTGATAAGATGCTAAAATTAAAGTGTATTGAGAAATACAGCCACGAATGCACAAACATTTGCATCTGTAGCAACTTTTTAAGAACCTTTACTCCATAAGACACAACATATTTATGTAAACCAGAGACATGTTATTCACATGTGAAACCCAGTTAACATGCAGCCGATGCCAAGAAAATCCACGGTGCCCTAATGATGAATCCTAAAACCTGTTGTGCCACCAGCATGTCATAGTTTTTAAATATGTCAACATTGACTTGATGGATAGGCAGGCACCAGGTTTTAGTTTTGAACCAACAGTCATGGCACCTGGCTGATAAATCCTAATGACTTTGGTGGACTTTGCGTCTGACTTTTGCTCTGGTGCCACCATGAGGTTCAAATTTGTGACTTTTGCAAGAAATGTCTTTACAACGATTGGATGTAGAGCGCTGCAGGAATGAGTCTCAAACTGTCAGCATTTGAGCACTTCTGGTTCCCTCGTCTCGAAGTCAATGTTTTTTTGAAATGGGTTTTTGGTTAGATGCCTAAAATAAGGTCTGTGGTTAAGACAAGCTGAAGAGCTTTTTCACGATATTGTTCTGCACATAAAACACGTCAGTAGATACCCCTTTCATACATTTTCTTATAAAAAGGCGGTTCTTAACAAGAGGCTAAATACAACTGCAAAACGTCATCATGCTGACAGCCTGCACAGCCTTGTTGTGCATACTTGTGCTAATGCGACCGTGGTGAAGTTAGTTAGCTTTTTTACTTCAGCCGATTGCATTCAGGGTGCAAAAACTCCTACAAGTGGTGTTCATTTGTGAAAATTATCTTGCTGAACAAAATGTGTAAGTAATTTCTGCAATAATCCAAAATCCAGTGGAAAAATCCCATTGGCTTTTTTGTCAAGGTAACCGGTATGATGCTAACTTCCCGGTTGGCCTGCCAGAATACGTCATCCCTGCAGCGTTCTCTTGCCATAAAATCTGGCGCACACATTGATGTCCTGGATTAATTAAATTGATCCCCTGATTTTTTCCTCTAGCGCCACCAAACGGTCAAAAAAGTTGCTTCATGCTAACTTTAAAAAAAGTGATTCCCATCAGAATCAGTACTTTGTGTTTATTGCTAATTAAGCTGTGTTAGTTGACCTTTTCTTGTGATTTGTTCATCGTGCTAAGGTTTGTTGAACCCGCGTGACAGAATATAGTTTATTGTAGACTCTGCATCTATATTACTTAGTTTCAACATTGGTTGCTCTGGGAATTAGCTGTTAAAAACACTGCAGTGAAGCTGAAAAAGTGATTACAAACTGAGTGGGAGGAGGTGAGAGACAAGTGGACTACTTTACTTTCCAGGTAATGAAAAACACTGCCGTGCTTCGTTTTGCTTCCGGGTTGGTACGGGTCTTGTCCTCTCTCGTCCATCAGCATCACACTCCCCCCCCCCCCCTCTCTCTCGCGCGCGCAGCAGCAGCAGCAGCAGCATCCACGAGCGCGCACTTGCCCGAGCGGTTTCCCAAAAACCACCCCAGAGAGAAGAAGAAGAAAAAAAGCATTAAAGAGATGGATGAAGACTTCGCTCCTGAGCCGGAGCGTCTGCGGACATTCGTGAGGAAACTCAGAGAGGTGTTTGACGCGTGTGACGAGGACTCGGACGGGTTTATCCGCCCTGAACACTTCGTGCAGTTGGGTTCTCAGTTTGGACGAGCAGAACAGGTGAGAGCATGCGTCTTTTTTTTCTTCTTCTTAAACTATAGGCTACCGCCCGCCATTCAGGTTACATAAGCAAACGAATAACTAAATAAAGATATTTTTTTGAACTTTGTATTAAAAAAAGAAGAACGTAGGTCACTGTATCTCGTCTTTCACATTGCTATGTGATAAAAAGCTTACACGAAGTCCCACCTTTATTTTTTGACATGAGGCCAGCTCGACCTGCAGTGACAAACGGATGCAGAGGAGGTTCCTGTTGAAAGTTCTACAGGTTGGAGCCAAAGCAGGAATATGTTTTTGTTCCTTAATGCACTTGGAACAGTGGGCTTATGTATCTTTCCAGCAAAACAGTCTGGTGCTCCTTCAGTGTACCTCTGTGACCTGAAACTTGTGTGTTGAATAAGGTGGTTGTTATGTTCTGAAGCAGGAAAGTAACTGTAATGTTAGCAACATTGTCTGGCGGAAATATGCAATTCACTTTTAAAGTGCAAGATATTTCCTGAATTCTAGTTTTAAAAAAATTCATGAACTTTATTTTCAGAATGTGAAGAGGTTGGAGTGTTGACGTTACGTCAAAGACGTCTATGTATTGTGTTGCAGAGATATCTGCTGTATGGAGCATGCTAACCAGCTAGCCTCGGCCTGCCCTGTCCTGTCATACCACTTGTACCTCAAGATGCTAAAGTGAGTCACTGTAGCGTCCGGTCCGCCCCAAAGATTATGATGTCTGTCAATTTAAAAGATAGTTAGTTGCACATTTGTCGGAGTAACATTTACTGTCCGGTCTTATACCCATACTACCATACTGTTTGCTAGAAAATTAATTAGTGTGTCCCAGTGCAAAGAAGGTCAAATGCAGTATGCCAAAAAAACATCCCTGGATGTCGCATTTATGCACCAATATGCTTTTATGGCTTCTGTGACCCTCAATCCTCTACGCAGCAGATACAGTATATATGAGCAAGAGGGTCAGAGTTCAAGGTGCCATGTTAGGAGCAGCTACTATGTCCCAATTAAATGCATACTGCATGCAACAGTACGCACTCTGTAAAGGAAGCTGCAGTATGTACTAAAAGAAAAAGTATGCAATATGGAGTTGTGTGTGAAACCGCTCAGTGAACTACATCTCTCGTCTTGCACAATCTACGTCACCACTGCCAACATGGCCGTTACTTTGGCTTGCTAGCTAGGTAACTTAGACTTACACATTGTTGATGGGAGTACATCCCGGTACAAAACAAACAGAGAGAGACGCCACTTAAGGACTTTTTGGCTGTGTAGTCTCTCTAATTACGCATTTTCACAGACTTTTACTTCAACCATTGTATGACAAAATGAGACTTTCGTGACATGCAAAAATGAAACCTAAAAACAAAAGTCTTACGTCTTCTAGTTTGCAAACAAATGAGGAATATTACTGGTTCATATTTTAAATGTTTTCATCAGTGCGGGTGTCACAGTGGACCTCCCTCGTGTCTCACTGCGTGCCGGGGTAATTGAACACTGCGGTTGATTGGCTCCCCAGTGTTGTGTTGCTCATCGGCGGGAACATCGAGGAGACACTGATTAGCTCCTGAGGGGGAAGCCTTCCACTGACCTGAGAAACAGATTCACAGGATCAAGTAGATGCAATTCTTAACTCCACAGTCGTAGATCCCACACGATACATGTTACACGTCACATTGTGTCAGCTTTTATTTATTGTTTATCGTGATATAAATATTCTCTCACTCTTTTGGTGAGAATGATTCAGAAGTCGCACACAAAACATCTATTCCATGATCATGTGACCCAAAGTGTATTCATAGTACAGAGTGTGTACAGAAAAAGAA